CAGTAGTATTTGCGTGAAAGAGTAACAAGCGTCCATCCATACATACAAACATTCGCCTTTATAATATTAATAAGGATTTTCTTTATTTCTATTTACAACCGAAGCACAGTCTAGTTGCTTTACATTTGAATCTCATTTAAGAAAGGCGAATGCGTAAGTTAGAAGATAATTCCGTTATTATGTTAATTAACGAAATATTAAGAATGCTATAAGAGGAAAGTAAAGTTGATACGATAAATATGTATTCGCGGATGTTTACACATCCTAATACCCCACGTCGGCATTAGCTAACATACACATATTAGTTATTTGATAACAGTGAACCATCGAAATAGATAATGGTTCTTAAGTAATGATATCGCCGGTTACGATGACGTCTTGAACTCTGTGTAAAGTTTATTGAAGAGATCACGTCCATTGAATCGAGAGCTCAAACGTCTTTGATCCTATGTTAGAAGCCAGGGTACACGAATATCTCAGGTTTAAGTGGTCCCGCTTACAAACCGCTGTTACGGGTTCGATCCCCATTCTGTTAAAATATTTTTTCTGTGTTTTAGACGACACCGCAAATTCTAAGACATGATAGTTTAAATTGACGCCTCACTGAAGCAATAATGTGAAATAAACAATAAGAATTAAATTACGTAATAAAAAATGTCAATATAACTACCGCTTGACTCACAAATATTCAGTCTGCTATATTTGCGAATACCGTATAACAATATATCGAATACTCTAGCAATCAAACTCGACATGTAATCTCCTATACTCGTACAGAAACGTTTTAACTTTGCATACCACAAAGCATTGTACATTAGAACTATGGATACAATAGTCAAACTTTGTAAAGACGTGTTTCGGGTATATTGAATTTGGCATTTTAATCCCTCCAGGGGACAGAGATAGCAAGATACAGCTATCCTTTTCATCGGAATTGTTGTCGAACCATACAGCGACAGCTGACAACAGAAAAAAAGTTGAACAATAGCACTCAAATATGCTCTTCGTAGATTCATTCAACTTCTAAGTAAGGATTAGACTTGATTTATTACAGGAGACGATTGGAAGTATATTATCAGTAAATATATATACAGTAAATATTTACTAGATTTTATATACGTCGCGTTATGAACGTAACTATCTCACATTTAACTGTGGTGTGGACCACGCAACTGTGATGGACCACGCAACTGTGGTAGGACCACGCAATGGTATTCACTGTTGCACGAATGGGCAGGTCCGTCCGGGTAATTACCACGACGACTGGCGTAAAGTAGAAGTGTTAAACTTCTGCGCTTCGTCTGGTGAGTGAGGTAGCCGGGTCCCACTTTATTTAAAAGTGGCAATGCTTCTGCAACCCTACGGGTGTTGCAAATATCCACGGGCGGTGGTTATCACTTAACATCAGGCGAACCGCCAGCTCGTTTGCCACTTTGTAAAAGTTTGAAAAAAAAAATGTCTGCACTTACGTTATACATTACCACATATCATGTTCAAATACCATATTTTGATAAATTATTATGGTTAAGATTGTGGTACTTTTTATGATAGTGGGTTCGATTCCCACACGGCACAAACGGCACGATCCTTAAAATTGTTTGTATGAACAAAAGAGAACATTAGTTGGGGTCGGCACGTATAAATCGGGCTGTTAAAGGTTTCGTGGTCGTAATGTGAAATGTTAACCATCGAGCAGGTGGTTCACCTGATGTTAAGTGAATACCCACGAACATCTACAACAACCAATGGCTTGCAGATACGGTATGGTATAATACTTCTACTTCAATCCGGTCTTCTGTGAGGTACGATCTCACTTACCCGGACGGGCCTACCCATTCAAGCAACAGCGAAGACTGTTGCATGCCCCTTCCACAATTGCTTGATGAGTCTTTGCCCGACAATGGAAGAGTAGGCGGATTTAATCAAAATTTACCATTGCAATTGTATGGTGCCAAATACACTGTTAAAAAAGTAAAAGTAAAGTTACAGCCTATACATGTCCCACTGCTGGGCAAAGACCTCCTCTATACAGAGGGTATCAGGGCATTGTCCGCCACGCGGCCCCACTGCGGATTGGCGGACTTAACATATCTTCGAAATATATATTTTTTGTTATTATTTCGAAAATATGCAGGTTTCCTCACGATGTTTTCCTTCACTGCGGAGCACGTGATAAGTCAGCACTTAAAGTTAAAAACTTCATTGGTGCCAGCACCGGGGATCGAACTCAGGTTGCTCGTGTATATTGAATTTAAGGCGAGCGCCCGGACACTGAGCTATCACGGCTCTGTAAATACACTGTTATAAATTATAACAATGACATAAGCTAAAATATTTAAACCCTTTCGACGATTTGACGACCTTTGACGATTTTTAGTTTTATGTAATCTGTGCTCACCGTTAAATGTCCTGTGAACAAGGTTGACATAAAATTTAGGTTATTTACGTAATTTTAACGTAAGGAAATAAAAAAAAAGAATTTAAACGCTTCCTTAAGTTTGAATCAAAATGATTTTCATGGACTCTAAATAGGAATTAATTAATGATTTAATGTGTCCATAATAAATACTTAAGGTCGTTACTGTTACCGTTTACGTTTCAGGGCTATTATAACACGAATCTTTGTAACCAGTTTTGATGCTTCTTTCGGAAGCTACGCTTTGCTTGAAACTGTATTTCTCCTCGTAAATCGCCTGCAATTAACTCTTTAATGGCATGATTTCGTTGCATGAAAAATTCATGTAGGTACCACTTTCAGAAGAGTCACTTGTCACAACCGTTGAAAGAGTTTATAAATCAATTCGACATTATTCAGGATGCATTTCTACCGAAAACATCGCCGAATTTAATGCAACTTTGATATGATGGTCTTCTACTTCTTTTCTTTTTGGCACTGTTTCGTGTATACATCAATGGTACAGTTAGGTTATACAGCACAGTTAAAACAGTATATTTTTTATTGATTTGAATGCGGGACACAGTGTGATTCTACAAGGATTTTTTTATATGTTCATCAGCATCCTCCTGCCCTAATACCACCTAGGTAGGGTCGGCACAAAATGTGAATCGTGTTGCGTGAAGCAGTTTTGGCTATATTTTTACGACCGGCCGCCTGTCTGACCTCACATATCTGGTGTGACATTTTCGATTCGGTTAAACAATTACAAAGTGATGAAATAGCTGAGAATAGCTAGTAGCTAATAGAAAATAAATAACTCAAATACCAGCGCGGATGATTTGAGAAACATATTCACTTCAATTATAAATTAAGGGAAATGAATAGGATAATGAGGTAAGTACTTCCCAGGCCAGCTATATGTTGAGCCGAATAATTTTAAGTATATGACTACACTTAACCGTTTAAACCAGATATTTACAAAACAATGCCGATTTCTACCAAGAACGATATGGGGGGGACCATTGAAATTCAAACTATCACCACAACGGTGATAGTTTGAATTTCAATGGTCGGAATTTCAATTTAAACGGTGGCAACGCATATACAACCCTACGGTGTTGCAAATGTCCATGGGCGGCTGTTATCACTTTACATCCGGGGAATCGCCAGATCACTTGCTTCTTCTCTATGAAAATATTACATTACTTATTAATGCTTAGAGACAGAAAGAGCGAGAGGCGAGAATGATCATAGCCGGAAACCTTATTCGATTGGCTTTCAAACAACAACCTATTGAGGTCAGTGGGATCGAAATTGAGGGCAAACACATCGCTACGTCCTTATAGCGTTTGTGAATCGAGTGTAAAATTTTGGGAGTTACCCACAACGTGTTTCTCCACACGTGTCCAATCCAATTATCATCCACATGATTGCAGCTCAAAAATGATTCAAGAAGATTTTGTAATCAAACCACCAAAACTCAACAGTTCGATATAATGTATTTTATTGAATACCTTCAAATACCAAACCAAACAACGGAATAAATATTTTCACGACATATTTTTTTATATCACATTATCTAGCCCCAAACTAAGCAATGATTGTTTTATCGGTAGTAGGTAACCGATAAATTTAGATGGACATACTTTTATTTTGTAAACGAATACGTAAGTCCATGTAAGTTATAAAACTAACTAAAAATACTTTGATCGTCACACAACATTTAGTAGTAGGGACTTAAGTAATAATCTTTGGGTTGAAAGGCACTATTCACTACGTGAACTTCACAGATGTTCATTGAAAACTATTTAATTCGAAAGAAAATTATTATGGACACATTATGAAATAAAAATTTCAACTTAATTATTAACTGCTTAAGTTATTTCTTTAAAAAAAAATTAACTGAAATAATATCATACCGAATATACGTCCTAAAACTTCAATGTTTTGCGTTCCTTATTTATTTGGCATTTTATAAAGCGAGTCAACCAGCCATCGTTACAAACACAACAATTTCACACTGAAAATAATTTTCACATGTAGCAGCCCTGAATAGGATTGTACCAGATAACGTCTTCCCAATCCATCCACAGTCCACGGTTATTATTAGTTCAGTTCGTGTCAAGATCCCGCGCCGTGCGGACGACGGCTGTCCACGCTAAAGAAATAATCTATTGCAAGTTTAAATAATGAATCGATGACATTTTTTAAAACACCGCAAGCGTTCGTGCAATATTAAAAAAAAAAAACAAAAACAATTATCGATGAAAATAAAATTGGCGCGAAAACTGTTCGCGACGCAAGTCATTCCTTCGGCGAACTAAAAGTGTATTGTCGGTATACGGACAAAAGTTACTATTTTTCTTAAACATACACGAAAACCTTCGCCACGATATTTTTATGATTTCAATAAGAAAGCAACGTAAATCGACTTTACGAAAATACATTCGATTTATTAAAAAAAAAGCATTTCAAATCTAATATATTGTAGTGCTATTGTAGTGGATTTTTGACATTTAGTTCTAAAATTTCACCGTTCTTACAAATAAACTAACTATTTGTAACGAGTAAAGGTGTATGTGTGTGTCGCGAAGTAATTAAAATGTCTTCCGAAATTAAAACCAATGCTGATCTTGAGAAAAGTGCTGAGAAGATGGGCGAAGTTACTTTTGAAGATGCAATTGAAATAACCGGTGAGTACTATTATTATTGCTTTCAATTAAATTCCAACAATTCAAAGATTCCAAAACTACAAAAATTTCAAACATTAACTACATTTTTAATCATGAGAACTACTTTACAATTAAAAAAGTTTTAAAATATTCGTTTGTATCGTTCAAAAGTCCTGAATTAAAATTTCTCTCGATCTCTTCAGATCGATCAAAGTTAGATAATAACCTATTTAAACACGATTAATTAATTTGTAAAAAGTGTTCTAGCAATCTTGGCGATGAAAGTTGAAAGCCAAGAGATTTTGTTATTGATTTTAAAAATAATCTTTACTTTCAAAAAAACCTCGTGTCTCTTGTGGGAACCCCATTTTAATATTTAATTTATTATTTTCTTTTTGTAATTTTTGTTATAGCGGCAAAAGAAATACATGTTCTGTGAAAATTTCATCTGTCTAACTATCACGGTTTATGAGATATAGCCTGGTAAGAGACGACAGATAGACAGGCAGCAAAGTCTTAGTAATAGGGTCCCGTTATTCCCTTTGGGTACGGAACCCCTAAAAAGCATATATAAAATGCAAACAGGCATGCACAATGGTTTAATGTATAGCAAATTCGTTTTCTTTTACTATGGCTAATTTCGCGTACATGTCACCGATCACATAATACTTTATTTTTTTATATAGGGAAAGCATATATCCATTAAAAACCTGAGCGAGCATCAGTAAGTGCTATAGAGTGTTTCAACGTCTATTTCCCTGTTTTTTTATGTTAGAAGGTGGCAATGGAGCTGGCGGATCAACTGATATTAAGTGATTACCGCTCCCCATGGGCATTTGCAACACCTGCAGGGTTGCAGATGCGTTGCCATCTTTTAATAAAGTATGCTCCGGTTACCTCACTCGTCAGACGTATCGACTCGTCGTATTTGTGATCTCAGCCTAAAGGTTTTTGACCCTATTATAAAATCGCAATTTCTAATAAGAATACAATTGTTAGAAAATATGAGAAACAGTTTTATTGAAACGCTAGACGCTTTAGTATTGGCTCAACTAGAAAAAAATCCCACTGCAAATCCGAACTACTCCGCGTTGCATACCTTTAAAGAATTATATTGCAAAATAAAGCATGCCGAAAGTTTAATGTGCGAACATAATTTGAATTCAAACAAATCGGAACGGTTAGACTTATTCAATCGTAAACTACCCCCGCTTCAATTATCTTCTTTCGACGGCACTTTCAGTAAATGGATACTATTTTATGAGAATTTTAAATGTCTTATCCATGACAACGCAAACCTTTCCGATGCCGAAAAAGTTCTATGGTTGTTTATCTGGCAAGGCGTTAAAAGCGTTAACTGTATGTTCTGGCATTAACCCCACAGCAAATAATTACAATATCATTTGGAACTCGCTAGTAGAAAAGTTTCAAGATACTCCCTTACAAGCCTCTATTTATTTAGAACAAATGTTTAATTACAGACCTAACCAATCCATTGCCTCATTTATTGAACAATTTTGCGCAGCAGAAGCTGCCCTGCGCTTCTTAAACGTCGACAATCTCTCAGATTTTATGATTTCTCACATCGCGTTGAGCAAATTAGATAAAGCTATCATTAACTTATTCGAACAATCCCATAGTAATTTAAGAATAACTACTTATGAGAGTTCTAACGTTTTTACCTTGATCCTAATATTTTAACTATTAGTAAACTTGAATATTAACAACTATTATAACGACAAGCAGCACTAGTGGTTATATCACCGTCCGGGAACGCGGCCGAAATCCAAGTGACCGCTGATCCATGCGACCATGGGTCCCTTGGCTCGAGTAGATAACGTCATATCCGGTATAGTGTTGGCAGCGCCAACATTCGGCCGTCCTGCATCACGCCTTCGTCCTCGAATGGCGTTGTAGTCTGGTACAAGTAACCTTCATAAAATTAACACCTTACCCTGTGGCTTATCTCCCTCAACTGGGATGCATATCGCCACGATCAAAACACTTACCCTGTGGCTTATCCCTCAACTGGGATGCATATCGCCCCATTCAAAACACTTACTCTGTGGCTTATCCCTCACAACTAGGATGCATATCGCCACGTTCAAAACGCTTACCCTGTGGCTTATCCCTCAACTGGGATGCATATCACCCCGTGCAAAACACTACCTCTGTGGCTTATCCCTCACAACTAGGATGCATATCGTCACGTTCAAAACACTTACCCTGTGGCTTATCCCTCAACTGGGATGCATATCGCCCCGTTCAAAACACTTCCTCTGTGGCTTATCCCTCACAACTAGGATGCATATCGCCACGTTCAAAACACTTACCCTGTGGCTTATCGCTCAACTGGGATGCATATCGCCACGTTCAAAACACTTCCTCTGTGGCTTATCGCTCACAACTAGGATGCATATCGTCACGTTCAAAACACTTACCCTGTGGCTTATCCCTCAACTGGGATGCATATCGCCCCGTTCAAAACACTTCCTCTGTGGCTTATCCCTCACAACTAGGATGCATATCGCCACGTTCAAAACACTTACCCTGTGGCTTATCGCTCAACTGGGATGCATATCGCCACGTTCAAAACACTTACCCTGTGGCTTATCGCTCACAACTAGGATGCATATCGCCACGTTCAAAACACTTACCCTGTGGCTTATCCCTCAACTGGGATGCATATCGCCCCGTTCAAAACACTTCCTCTGTGGCTTATCCCTCACAACTAGGATGCATATCGCCACGTTCAAAACACTTACCCTGTGGCTTATCGCTCAACTGGGATGCATATCGCCACGTTCAAAACACTTCCTCTGTGGCTTATCGCTCACAACTAGGATGCATATCGCCACGTTCAAAACACTTACCCTGTGGCTTATCCCTCAACTGGGATGCATATCGCCACGTTCAAAACACTTCCTCTGTGGCTTATCCCTCACAACTAGGATGCATATCGCCACGTTCAAAACACTTACCCTGTTGCTTATACCTTAACTGGGATGCATATCGCCACGTTTAGAACACCTTACTTTGTGGCATATCCCTTACAACTGGGATGCATATCGCCACGTTCAGAACACCTTGCCTTTTAGCTTATCCCTCACAACTGGGATGCATATCGCCACGTTCAGAACACTTTACCCTGTAGCTTATCCCTCACAACCGGGATGCATATCGCCACGTTCAGAACACCTTACCCTGTGGCTTATCTCTTATAACTGGGATGTATATCGCCACGTTTACAGTTTTCATCGATTTATCAACTTAGGTAGCTTTACCAGTTGGACCAGTCGTATATTGCTACGTTGTCTAAGTACCAGTGATGGTGTTTACAATGGATATCCATCGCCAGTTCATGCCTTAAACTTTCCAACTACTAAAATGCTCGGTAGCTTAACCGGGTAAACCAGTTGTGTATCGCTATATAACATTTTCTCAAATATGTTAAGTAATTGATTAACCTCCTGGTACTCACCAAAACTTTCGTTACATTTAAATAAAAGATTTCGATCATCATTAAGATCACCATTACGTATAGTAAATATAAAACATAGTTTTATTTTACGAAGGTAGGGACCCAAGGAGAAAATATGTCGCCGATTGTTTGAACACCCAAACGCGAGTTTTCGTATTGAATCCCACTTCTGATATAAGAGTTCTAACGTTTTTAAAAAGACTATTGCTAATATTTAAGTTGACTTTTAAAGAAACTTGAAACAGATTGAAACATTTTGATTAAAAAAGGTTACTCCATTTTTAATCGAAATAGTTTAGGGTATCAAGAAAATTGTCTGGAAGCAAAATTTCACACACCATTTTCCTATTCTTACTTTATGACACTGTTTTGTTCAGTGCTTGCTTGATGATTTGATAAGTTATTGGAGGTCATGGGTTTGATTTCCACTCGGGACAACTATTTGTGTGCCCCACAGATAAGTGTTCCGGGCTTTGATTATATACTTTATTCAGTATTGTTCTTTATTAATACTCGTTAATATATTTGCTTTGATTATTAACTTCACAAATATATAATCAATGGTTCATATCAGGCCGGTCGTAAATAAACGTACTCAATTAATCTTAATAACATAATTAGCATATTGCGCTGACCCCACCTTGTTGGGATGAGGGTAGGAGGAAGAAGAGAAGATATTTAGGAGACTTAAGTACGTCGGACCCATCCGGGGGTCCCGCCGAATAACACTACACCCTCAGTTAGTGCATCAAAAAACACCATAATGTTGCAAATGTCCATGGGCGGTGGTTATCACTTAACATCAGGTAAACCGACAGCTCGTTTGCTAATTTCTCACATAAAAAACTAAGTACACCCGCGTTCCAGAGCGGTTCCCACCGCCCCCAGCCACCGACTAACCAAGCACAGTCAACGGCCATCGGGATAACGGTCCGCACCGAACCTCGAAGGCTCCTAGGCGATGTGTCATAATTAACGCCTGCATGAGAACATGCGCGGCCCTACTCACTGAGGAGGGCCTCAAAACCGTGGGTTCTGGCTAGCCCACCAGTTCTGCGTTCAATGAAAGTTTAATAGTCTAAGGACTGAAAGCGTAACATATAGTTATACAAAATATAACAGTTGTTTAGGAACAAACAAGGAAAACTAATAGATTCATGTTCTTGGAGTGGATACTGTTTGTTTTATTTATATAATCTTTATTGTCGACATTATATAAAAACGTAACAACTGGCGGGCTTATGCCCCGAAAGGTAATCTCTACGAGTGAACCCAGGTTGTGGCTTGAGCTTTTGCTAGGTGCGGCAAGGAAAGTGTCTTTATTTTAATCAACTAATGTACTAAACGTTGTTGAATATTATTCGAATGTCTGGCCTGACATTCATATGTATGATTAAGGTGAATTTACATACATTAATACGTGTAACATACCTATTTCATTCATCTAAAAGTAACATGCAATGTAGTTGCACTACGACAACATCGAATTAATCAATATAAACTTTGCAATTTACAATATAGATTTAACATAAAGTATTCGCTATCAAATTTTATTTCCGCATAAATCTTGCATCCCTGAAGCGTAATTATTTGTCTGTGTACTTACCACAATACTTATTTTCTATAAATGTTCTACGTTTAATTAAAATACTCCTAAAAATACTTTAATACCTAAACAATTCTGCAGGAGTGCTTGAGCTCTGTCTCCTACAAATGGAATATTAGATTCAATTCAACTGTGCTAGAGCCATGCAATAATCTTCTCGTCCGAGTAAGTACCACGACCTCACAGTAGACGTGAGGTACAAGCGTCACACTTCTGCATTTCGTCTGACGAGGAAGCCGGGGCCCACTGTTGTAAAGGTTGCCACGCATCTGCAACCCTACGGGTGTTACAAATGTCTACGAGTATAGGCGGCGATCATCACTTAACATCAGTGGAACCGCTAGCTCATTTACCACCTTCTCACATAAAAAAGAAGAAACAAAGAGCCAATCCAATGAATTTGAGCCAATCAAGATTTCACGCATATCTGATGAACCTCTTTTCGTTCAGGTCACGGCAAGTTCAACAATTTCGTGTTGTTGACATGCGGGCTTATCATGCTGAACGTGTCAATGGAGTCCGTGGGCATGAGCTACGTCATCACGGCAGCCGAATGCGACCTCGGCCTCACCAGCGAGCACAAGGGTTTGATCACGGCAGCCGCTTTCATAGGTCAGTTTGGTTCTGCAACTATCAGTCCATCTTATTCCTGTACTTTACACTGGCGTCCCCCAAGGCACGCTACTTAGACATCGGTCCACTAATTTTAACATCTATGGGTTTACGTATGCTGTATTAGATAGTGGTTCTTTTGAACCTCCTTAAAAAAGAGCTATTGCTAATAGAAAACAGAAAAACGGAACTGCATCGCAGAAAATAACTAACATATAACCTCAGATATCTGCATGACCTTCCGTATCACGATCGTTATTGCATTACTGCTGTTTTTTATGTCGTTTATCGAACTCTACAGACCTATTAGGGCTTCATCAATCTCAATATTAATTATACTTTTAATATCGCCTCTTACCGTTGAACTCTCTTAACTTTCACAACTGTATTACATGTAAAAAAAAAAAGTAAAGTAACAGCCTATACATGTCCCACGGCTGGGCAAAGGCCTCCTCTATATAGAGGGTATCAGGGCATAGTCCACCACGCGGCCCCACTGCGGATTGGCGGACTTCACATATCTTCGAAATATATTTTTTTTGTTATTATTTCGAAAATATGCAGGTTTCCTCACGATGTTTTCCTTCACCGCGGAGCACGTGATAAGACAGCACTTAAAGTTAAAAACTTCATTGGTGCCGGCACCGGGAATCGAACTCAGGTTGCTCGAGTATTTTGAATTAAAGGCGAGCGCCCGGACACTGAGCTATCACGGCTCGCGGTATTACATGTAGTATAAAGAATTTTTAAACGAATTATTATAATAAAAAAAAGGTATGTCAGATGGATATTAGAAGCAACTTGGAATACACGCTTTAGTATTACATGCTATGACAAATTAGCAAAACAATAAAGCTTCACAAATCCAAAATGGTACCATCGTCATCGTATTGTAATCAAATAAATGCTATCATCATACTTTAATTATGGATCTGATAAGATATTGTAAATGTATAGATACCGATCTTGCGGAACTTTTAACTCTATGCGGTAGGCAGACATATTTGTCAAAATTTCAATGAACTCATAAAATTCCAACTGTAAAAAACGGATAGCCTTTTGCTTCATTTTTGGTGAGTAGAAAAATGTGAAAAGATCGAAAGAGAAAAATGAGTGAAGATCAAAATAAAAAAAAAATATTTAAAATTATATGCCTATACGACATGAATAGATGATTATATTTCAGTAATTAAAAAATATCATCAGGGCATATTTTTACCCGGCCCCAAAAAGCCCCCAAAGAAAGCAAGTAACTGATAAACATATATATCTGCCGTCGGAGACCAGGGCGCAGAAGGTTGGCCTACGTGCGCAAACTTCCCCCCTGATAGTGAGACTCTAAGCATGGGGGTGTCTGTCGCTCTATATAGAGCCCGAGACGGGTACTGTGTTAATTGCACCGGCACAGCACCATTTATAAATGAGGAGGTCAAAAAGGTTAAAGATTGCGCCTAAGTGTTCCCGTGTCTCCGGCCGATGCGACAAAGAACGTGGGTTTATAGTCCCCGTTTCGGGGACTCCCGCATACCCTGCCACTTCCCTGATCCAGTGGCAGGGGATCCATAAAGGATTATACCACCAAAAAAAAGGTTCATCCAATAAGCGAATTGGGTCGACAATTCTTTATCTTGAGAGCTGTATGTATAATTTATGCGTCGGGATTAAAAAGATAAGAGGCCTTTCGAAAGAGTCACGGAAGATTTTTCGTTTTTGCTAACGTTCCGGGGTCGTTTGTGGACCACGGGGATCATTTTACGCGGTTAAAAAACAAGTTTACCGGAAGGTACACTCCGTTGTGGGGGAAGACTAGCGTTTGTGAATGGGAAGCCTATTGAAAACTGGTTCAGCCTACACTAAAGCGGCCGTACTAATTACACGGAGCGCGAGTCGAACAGAAGACAATGTCTGTCGCTTAAAAATTCATCAAACTTTTGTAATTTTTGTTAACGTCGGTACTTCTTAATTTTTGAGATAAAGTCAGCGAATATCCAGTTATTTAAGTATAAAATTAACAGGAGCCAGGAGATTTGTAAGTGCAAAGCAAAACACATTTCTACACAGTATTATTCAATCTTTAGAAATTTTATCGTATTTGATTATTATTTACATTTCCGACGCATCGAAATCCCTTAACGTAATGAATCATTCTCGTTTAATTTTACTGTTTATTATTATTTCTTTAATTTGGTGACTTGGGTGTTTACTTATCTCGTAAGGTTTACCAGTCCCGTCTTGTTGTAAAGATAATAATTATAAAGATTTATTGACGTTAAAACTTTTTAAGTAGCAATATTTTATCTTTATATTCAGTCAAAATAAATATACATACATCTCATTGAATCCGAATAGTAATTTCAAATATAACGATATAAAAATATAAATCTAAAATATAAATCTTTTCACACAGGTTCTCTTAAATACAACTTCTCTTTCGACTGAAAAAATAAGTGTGTAAATGATCGTGATACGAACCGCGGCCGTCTGTTTTGGGGCCGCCCGATTACCGACCGAGCTGTTGTAACATTTTTTTGCGGCGAAATTTACTGTCATATTTGAATGATATTTTTATTCCCTGAAAACAGGGATAAAAGGACATTTTCTAAAAATTAAACCTAGCTAGATCGATTTTTCGCCCCCGAATCTACGCACATACTAAATTTCATGAAAATCGCTGGAGCCGTTTTCGAGATTCCGATTATATATATATTTATTTATTTATTGATAGAACCACCAACGGAATAACATGTTGTTTTGTTATAAAAACTGACAATAGACTTAGGAGCTACGATTTACATGTTTCCATTTAAAGGTAGTTACAGCGTGTTTAAAAAGACGATAAGTGTACGATAACTCAATAATAATTACAAGTATGAGTAAAATACTAATATGAAACAACAAAAAAAAAAACAACAATAAGACAATAAGAAAAATAAGAAAATTAAAAATTTATAAAAATAATAACAATTTATATCGAGCTTATATAAAATTATGGTAGAATTTTTACTTTGAATTATTAAATAGTTTGAAAATTTTGGCTCTAAAAGTTTTTATACTATCGCTAAATAAGTCAATAGTCTTATCTTTAAGCACACATTCGTTATACAATCTGCTTATTCTCGGTATAAGAGAGTGATGACCAAGATTAGTTTTATACAATTTGTGATTGAGTAAGGGAATCGTAAAACGCGGTACACGGCAGGGAACTTTAAACAATATTTGTGATAGTAATTCTGCAGAATCTATGGTTCCATTTGTAAGCTGTACAAAAAAACTAAATCATGTAGTTTACGTCTGTCCGATAGTGAGCTTAATTTTAGTTTTAGGAGACGAGTAGAATAGGATTCCATATGATTACCACTAGAACACTGTTGAGTGAATCGTCTTTGTATGCTTTCTATACGATCTTTGTGATCTTTCTATATGATCTTTCTTACTTCTAACTAAGGAAGTGTAAAGAAGATTTTTTGTTATGATTTTTTTAAAACATTTTGAGTTCCGGTATAAAAACCCCAGCATTTTGCGTGCCGATCTACAAATATTTTCAATATGAATATTAAATCTTAATTTAGCATCAATTGTTATTCCTAAGTCTCGAATGGATTCAAGCTTCTGAAGTGGGTTATTGTTCAACGTGTATGGGTTTCTAATGCAGTATGCTTACGCGTAAAGTTGATATAAGAACATTTAGAAGCGTTGAGATCCATGCCATTTAACTTGCTCCAACGAGCAATTCTATCGACATCTTCTTGTAGAGATTGTGCATCATGATCGTTAAGAATTGCTTTTGCAAGTTTCAGATCGTCCGCAAAGATGAAACATTTTGAATTATGTACACAATTAGTTACATCATTTACGAAAATATTAAATAATAGGGGTCCTAATATGGATCCCTGTGGTACTCCCGAAGTGCACTCATATTTTTGAGAAAAGTGGCCTCTGATCACTACGTATGAAAATCTGTTCTTTAAATATGAAGCAAACCACGAAAGTAATGGTCCTCCGATTCCAAACGATGATAGTTTCGCTATCAACAACTTGTGATTAACCCTGTCGAAGGCTTTGGAGAAATCAGTATAGATAGCATCTACTTGTTGACGTGAGTCGACGTAGGGTGTTATATAATTCATAAAACATGAAAGGTTTGTGACAGTAGATCGAGATGTCATAAATCCGTGTTGGTTGTCTGAGATAGCGTGGCGGACGTGGCGTGACAATATAGGCGAGATCAAGGACTCGAAGATCTTAGAGACAACTGATAATATTGATATGGGTCTGTAGTTGGCAATATTATCTCGATTCCCTTTTTTGTACACAGGCACTATTCTTGCAAGTTTCCACATATCTGTGAAGACTCCGGTACTGAGGGATCTATTAAAGATAATACAGATAGGCAAAGACAACGCTTTAGCACACTTCTTAATAAACGAAGGAGGAAGATCGTCGGGTCCAGCACCTTTCTTTGCGTCAAGTCTTTTTATTTTTTTTATTACTTCCTTAACATTGATGTTTATTAAACAAAGATTGTTTTCAGTAACTGTTTGTAGGGGAATGTTTGTGCAGGGTACGTAGTAAACGGAAGCAAAGGATTCAGCAAAGAGATTGCACACTCCTGGGCCATCGGTAGCAACTTTACTGTTTAGTACCATTCTGGCTGGGTACGTGTTTGATGGTTTTTTTTACGTTTTTTAAGTGTGTCCAAAAATATTTAGGATTTTTTTGTAGGTTACTTTCAACGCATTCAATATAATTATTATAACTTGTTTTAATTAATTTATTACAACTAAACCTTAGTGATTTAAATTTGAGTATGTCTAGAGGGTTATTGTAAATTCTACTTTTTACTCGATATTTATTTTTAAATTTTAACATAGAAATTAATTTATTATTATACCATAAGGGAAACTTTGTACTTCTAGGCTTAGTCTTTGGCGCATGTTTTTCGATTATTGATTTTTTTAATTTATGATAAAATACATTAAGCATTGAGTTTACTGAATCGC